AGTTGATTGGTCCTCACCCGAGACAGCTTTTCTTAGAGCCTAATTTCACATGGTGTTGGACCAGATGACGCCAAAAGGCGCACAACTCAAAGACAATGCACCATCAGAGTATGAGAGCTCGGGGTAAGCTTTTACACCATTGGAACCTCATTTGCCAGTAAAAAATATCATAATTGGTTTGTTACCCTTCAATCTGGCAACAAAACTGACACATTTTTTGTTACAAGGAGTCATGTTTGCATAGACCACAATACCTGCAGTCATAATGCATACAAAAAACACAACTCTGATAATGTATGCACTGTCCTTGAAGTTGATTGTTCCACACCCGAGACAGCTTTCCTTAGAGCCTGGTCTCACATGGTGTTGGACCAGATGACGCCAAAAGGCGCACAACTCAAAGACAATGCACCATCAGAGTATGAGAGCTCAGGTATTGTGGTCTATGCAAACATGACTCCTTGTAAAAAAAGGTGTCAGTTTTGTTGCCAGATAGAAGGGTAAAAAAACAATGATCAGGTAGTCCCCGACTTACCATGGTCCGACTTACGATATTTCGATCTTACGATGGCGATATCGATATGACAAAACTGTAAAATATTTTACATTTCGCGCGATCAGGCAAACGTCGCAGCGTACGAGGTACGATGCTGTGCGTTGGGACGGTGCTGGGATGTACTGTGCGCATCTCCCGCCTTGTGTGGTGATGCCTCTCACTCACCAGCGGTTGACGGAGTTAAGTGGTCACGGTGTTAGCGCGTGTCATTTTTTTTCTGTGTTTTTGTGTTTCAGAATCTTGGTGAGTACAGCACAATATGATACGTTACGATACGTTCAATGCATGTGTGATACGTAGCTTTAGCGATTTCATTTTAGGGTTACCACGATACGATACATTCAATGCATGTTAAAAGTGTTTTTTTTATAGCAGATAGGATTGTTTCCTGAAAAAACTTTCTATTAAATAGCAGTTCATATATGTAGGCTAAGAATTTACCTTGTTTTTTAAACTTTACATGTTAATGTGCAATACAGTATAGTAATTAATAAATACATACGGTATATAGTTTATACAGTACGGTACTGTAAATTGCTCTGTTTTGCTAAATTATCACCATTCTTTAAGACTCCTGGGTAGGTTATAGGCCATCTTCGACTTACGGCATTTTCGACTTACGATGGGGTCGTCGTAACGCATCTCCATCGTAAGTCGGGGACTACCTGTTTTTGAGTTTGTCATAAAGTGACGACGCATTTGTGAAACGACATGGAAAAAAACCCAGAAGCTTTTCATAGCTCATCGGATTCCTCCAGTGTAAGTACAACTTACAATTCTGATGCTGCAAGCGATGCAAGTGTAATAAAGGTCGTGGAAGCGACTTCTGGAATCCGGTCTTTATTTGTCTGTCCTTACAACACTCCTTCACGCTGCTGACAGACAGCGCGAGAGGGATAGAGAGAGACGCACGCAGCCACATGGCAGCCTGGACCACGTGGCAACCTGGACCACGTGGCAGCCTGGATCACGTGGCAGCCTGGACCACGTGGCAGCCTGGACCCCCGCTCTCGCGTGGCCCCCTTCCTCCGTTCGTTCCAGTTCTGACCACGTGTTGTTCGTCTCCACCCCTATTTAATACCCGGGTCACGTGGTACCTTTCCACCAATCCTGGTTAGCCTCTATGGAATCTTCCAGACTCCATCGTCGGTTCCCAGGACCACGCCCCTGACTCGTCTCCCCATTGGCTGTGGCTAAAGCCAGTAGAACCAATCCTCTACTTACAGCTGTCACCTTTCCATCACGTCAGGGCCACGCCCCTAGGCTTCTCCCCATTGGCTATGGGCCAGGACCGGCAGAGCCAATCATCGTGACGAGTTGTAATCCGTCAACGACCCAGATATATCCTCACATTACAAAAATGTGCGGGGTTTTGGGACGACACAGATCGGCTCGAGGTGTTCGTGACGAAGTGGGGAGATGTGCACACGTCGGGGTATTGGTGATGGTGATCGTGATCATCATGATCATGATCGTGATCATCAGCAACAGCAGTGATATTCAATTCATCGTCGAAATCAGTGGGTCTTCTTCTGAACCTGGGGGTGTGGGACATGGGCAGATTTTGTTTAGAAGGTGAATCGTCGAAAACACGAATTAATCTGTGGGCACGCTACGTTACAACTGACTTTGTTTAATCAAACTCCGATGTATTTATTAAGATTATTACATTGAATTTTGATTTAAAGCTTTCGTGACTGCAGGGATTCATGTTCTTGATTCTTTCGGTAAAGTCACGTAGAAGGGAAATGATAAAATAATAAAAATATTTACCTTCTACGTGACTTTACCGAAAGAACCAAGAAGATCATGACATTGTTTTAGTATTGAGAACCAAAGGGTGCAAGGCTGCGGTAAAGGTTAAGAGCCACTGATTTACACTCTACACTACACTATACACTACACTACATACTACGCTACTATACACTACACTACTATAAACTACACTACTATACACTACACTACTATACACTACACTACTATACACTACACTACTATACACTACACCACTATACACTACTATACACTAAACTATACACTACTAGACACTAATATACACTACTATACACTACACTATACACTACACTACTATACACTACACTACTATACACTACACTATACACTACACTATACACTACACTATACACTACACTATACACTACTATACACTACACTACATACTACTATACACTACATACTACGCTACTATACACTACACTACTATAAACTACACTACTATACACTACACTACTATACACTACACTATAAACTACACTATACACTACACCAGTGGTTCTTAACCTGGGGGTGCGAGGTTTGATGGTGAATCATCGAGAACACGAATAATGGCACGGGGCACGTGAAGCTACATCTGACTGTGTTTCATCAGACCCCGATGTATTTATTGACATTATAGATACAACAACATTAATGACGAGTGAAACTCAAAGGGTGCACGGCTGCTGTAAAGGTGACGAACTACTGCTCCACGTTGACAGTGAAATTGTTTACAACTGCCGCTTGTTGTTGTTGTGTTGTTGTTGTTGTTGTGTTGAGTGTTGTTGCGTTGTTGTTGTGTTGAGTGTTGTTGTGTTGTTGTTGTGTTGAGTGTTGTTGTTGTTGAGTGTTGTTGTGTTGTTGTTGTGTTGAGTTGTTGTTGTTGTGTTGAGTGTTGTTGTGTTGAGTGTTGTTGTTGTGTTGTTGTTGTGTTGAGTGTTGTTGTTGTTGAGTGTTGTTGTTGTTGAGTGTTGTTGTGTTGTTGTTGTGTTGAGTGTTGTTGTTGTTGAGTGTTGTTGTGTTGTTGTGTTGAGTGTTGTTGTGTTGTTGTTGTGTTGAGTGTTGTTGTTGTTGAGTGTTGTTGTGTTGTTGTTGTGTTGAGTGTTGTTGTTGTTGAGTGTTGTTGTGTTGGAGTGTTGTTGTGTTGAGTTGTTGTTGTTGTGTTGAGTGTTGTTGTGTTGAGTGTTGTTGTGTTGAGTGTTGAGGTGTTGAGTGTTGTTGTTGTGTTTAGTGTTGTTGTGTTTAGTGTTGTTGTGGTGAGTGTTGTTGTTGTGTTTAGTGTTGTTGTTGTGTTGTTGTCCGTCCCCCGCACCTCCAATCAGCGCGGTTGGCTACGTACGGTGCGAACGAAGTCCAACGTACACAGCACCACGCCCGACACACACCACACACACACAAAGACAAAGATCCCCGTGTAGCCTTAACAGACTGTAGGGGCAAGTGCTGTTAGCGAGCACCTATGAAGGCCGGCACGGCACACGAGGGGGTGGGTGGCCAGCACCACGCCCGGCCGCCTTTGTCTCCCCCGTGGCGATGTTTACACAAACAGCACCAGGTACTCATTTGAGGCCGAGTCGACCTAGAGGGAGACCCAGGACCGGTCTCCCGAGTGGCGATGTTTACACATCGCACCGGATACTCATTTGAGGCTGAGTCGACCTACGTACACACACACGCGCACACACGCAACGCGATATCGATGTGGTGAGTGCTGTTAGCGAGCACCTATTAAGGCCGTCACGGCACACGAAAGGATATCGGTATCCAGCAGCAGCAGCAGCACCACCACACCGCTGCGCCACCGCTCCCCCGTCTGGACACCCGATTATAAGACGCACCCGCGACGAGAGGGTGGAGGGGGGATGGGAAGTGCGTCTTGTAATCCGGTGCATGCGGTATCATCGAACGTAGCCGCACGGATGGATGTGGGGCGCGAGCGGGAGTGGAGGAGCCTCAGCCCCGAGCTTCGATCCCAGTGGAGCGACAGGGGAGCTGAGAGGGAGTTTGTGGAACAGCTGAGAGGGTGAAGGGCAGGTGAGAGGGTGGAGTTAGAGAGAGAGGGGGGTTGAGAGAGAGAGAGGTGAGGGGGTAGAGGTGAGTGGGAGGTGAGAGAGTGGAGCTGAGAGCGGTGGAGGGAGGGAGCTGAGTGGGAGGCGAGGGGGTGGTGAGAGGGTGGAGTTGAGAGCGGTGGAGGGAGGGAGCTGAGTGGGAGGGAGGGAGTTGAGTGGGAGGCGAGGGGGTGGTTAGAGGGTGGAGTTGAGAGCGGTGGAGGGAGGGAGCTGAGTGGGAGGCGAGGGGTAGGTGAGGGGTAGAGGTGAGTGGGAGGTGAGAGAGTGGGGCTGAGTGGGAGGGTGGAGTTGAGTGGGAGGCGAGGGGGTGGTGACAGGGTGGAGCTGAGAGCGGTGGAGGGAGGGAGCTGAGTGGGAGGCGCTGGGTAGGTGAGGGGGTAGAGGGGAGTGGGAGGTGAGAGGGTGGGGTTAAGAGAGGGGGGGGGTGGCGAGGGGGTGGTGAGGGGGTGGAGCTGAGAGCGGTGGAGGGAGAGAGGTGAGTGGGAGGGAGGGGAGGGAGTTGAGTGGGAGGGAGGGAGGGATGAGTCCATTATAAACCGAGCTCATGGGGCAGAGAACTCGTGCCGTTGTGATCGCAGCCTCACCTGAGCTCCCCACCCCGCCCATCCCACCTGAGCCTCCCCCCCAACTCACCTGAGCCCCCCAACTCACCATGAAGACCATCATCGCTGCTGCGTACAGCTCTGCCGACCTGGGAGGTGAGTGGCGTCACGGGGCTCGCCGCGGTTCGAAACCGGCGGGCCGCCCCGGTCAACGCCTGGCTCGCGTCTATGGCGTGCGCTGTGAAGAAGGGGCATTGCCCGAAACGTCGCCCGTTTTAGACAGCGCTTACGGGGGCGTTTGTAACCGGCGGCATGGGGCTCTTTGGCTGCTACACCCCCACCCTCCTGTTTTAAAATGAATGAAACTAATAATTAAATTTTAAACAAAATTTAGCGTGAAGATAAATCGATGTAGGGGGGGGGGGTCATTGTTCGAAGAATAATTAAGCAAGTTTATTCCAGCAACTAACTCGTTTATTGGCGTGAGAGTGTGGCGTTGTTGTTGTTGTTTCCAATTGTGTCCGCCGTTGTTTGCTATTGACACGGGAAGCGTTGGGGTTGTTGTTGTTGTCGTTGTTGGTGCGCCGCTGCAAACTCAGCAGCGGCAGCAATCAACACAATAATTCCAGACTTAGGACTTTGACCAAAACGATTTAAAGTTGATAGTCTGCGTGGATCAACACTGACTCTCCCTGCTGATACAGACACACATTGTGGCTGTGTGTGTAGCTGTGTGTGTGTGTAGCTGTGTACCAGTGTGTGTGTGTACGAGTGTGTGTGTGTACCAGTGTGTGTGTGTGTATGTGTACCAGTGTGTGTAGGCGTGTGTGTGTGTGTAGCTGTGTGTGTACCAGTGTGTGTGTGTGTAGCTGTGTGTGTGTGTAGCTGTGTGTGTGTACAAGTGTGTGTACCAGTGTGTGCGTGTAGCTGTGTGTGTAGCTGTGTGTGTACTAGTGTGTGTGTGTACAAGTATGTGTATCTGTGTGTGTGTGTGTACAAGTGTGTGTACCAGTATGTGTGTGTGTAACTGTGTGTGTGCCAGTGTATGTGCCACTAAGAGGTGGGGCCTTACCATCAGCCCCACCAAAACTAAGCATTTGCCTGGGTATTTTGTACCATCGGACACTCCACCCTCACAACTCCCAATCGGTGATGGGGCAGTTGTAGAGAGTTTCCCATACCTGGGCAGTGTGCTCGTGACCGGCTCTGGTTGAACAGCAGAGGTCTCACTCCGAATCAGTGTGGAAGCTACCTGGTCTGTCGCTCCGTATGAAGCTCCAGGTCTTCTCGGCCACAGTCATTCCCTCCCTTCTCTGTGCTGGAGAAACGTGGACCCCCCTAATCGAACATCTTCGCCGGTTGGAAACATTTAGGCTGGCTTGCCTACGATCCATCCTGGGTTTAACCAGGCTGGATCCTTGAAAGATCTGGACAAAGTCCCATCGGTGAGCTCCTCCGGCAGGCAAGACTGTGTTGGCTAGGTCATGTAGCCCGCATGCCCAGCCACCGCATGCCTAAACAGCTTTTGATCGGCCGGATCAACGGGGCTAAACGGGCGCGGCACGGGCTAGAGAAGAGATGGAGTGATGTGGTACAGGAGGATGTGGAGCTGAGTGGACTTGCCGATGACTGGTACCAGCGGTGTCAAGATCGGCCACTGTGAAGGAGGCTCGTGAAGGACGCTACTGGGAAGTTGGAGGCAGTCGCCCTCCAACAACAACGGAGGGGGGAGGAGTGACGCTCACAACAACGGGCGGAGCGCCGGGTGGCTAAAACACAGCAAGTTGGCACAGTAGGGGGCACAGGTGGTGCATCAGCCAGTCATCTCGGTCATCTCAGTCAGTCGACCAGTGGCACCTGCTGGGTTTGCCCCGTGACCTCCTGCCAGCGGGCGTTCGACACTTCACGTGGCCTCAACGTTGCACGTAGCCTGGCACAAGCGTCGCGGTGACGTCACCGTCGCTTCGTGGCGGTTAGCGCTACGCTGCACTACGAACCCGGCCACCCGAGTTCGAATCCCACTCACGGCCAGAACCAGTTGCCGATTATTTGAACCGCTCCTGGGCCTCCCCTAGGTCGACTCGGCCTCAAATACATACCTGGTGCGTTGTGTAAACATCGCCACTGTGGAGACAAAGGCGGCATGGGCGAACGTGTCCAGCCACCCACCTCCTCGTGTACCGCTGGTAGCCTTCATAGGTGCTGCTACTCGCTAACAGCACTTGCCCCTACAGTCTGTTAAGGCTACACGGGGGATCTTTGTGTTGCACGTAACAATGCCCTCCTGCCATCATCATCGTCGTCGTATTTCGTAACTGCTTCTTGTTGTTGCTGAAACGTTCTGACCCCGTGTGACTTCTGGACATCTGTGAAAAAAATAGTTTCCACATCTCATCGGATTCCTGCTGCTGCCATGAATACAGATGCTGATTCTGACCACCAACATCATTGTCGTCCCATCTCCCCCTCGCTCTGAGAACAGCAACAGTGTGTAGTGTAGTGTATAGTGGTGTAGTTCATAGCAGTGTATAGTGTAGTGTATAGTGTATAGTAGTGCAGTGTATAGTAGTGTAGTGTGTAGTGTAGTGTAGTTCATAGTAGTATATAGTGTAGTGTATAGTGTATAGTAGTGCAGTGTATAGTAGTGTAGTTCATAGTAGTGTGTAGTTCATAGTAGTGTAGTGTAGTTCATAGTAGTGTGTAGTGTATAGTGTAGTGTATAGCAGTGCAGTGTAAAGTAGTGTAGTTCATAGTAGTGTATAGTGTAGTGTATCGTGTAACATAGTGTAGTTAATAGTAGTGTATAGTGTAGTGTATAGTGTAGTGTAGTTCATAGTAGTGTATAGTGTAGTGTAGTTCATAGTAGTGTGTAATAGGACTGCCAAAATAGTCCCATCGGCGTTAACTGCTCAACCCGAGCCATGCACGCTTTATTTCTACTCGCCGTTTGGCGTTCTCTGGGCCCACAAGGCCACAATTCGGGCTCGACACCGCAGCCGCACTGCTGCGTCTGTGTCTGTCATGCATCTCCTGAGTCTCGATGGGTCTCTATGGATCGATACATCTCTTTGAGTCTCTGTGTCTGTCATGTATCTCCTGAGTCTCTGCGGGTCTCTATGGATCGATCCATCTCTTTGAGTCTCTGTGGGTCTCAATCTCTGAGTCTCAATGGGTCTCTATGGATCGATCCATCTCTTTGAGTCTCTGTGTCTGTCACGTATCTCCTGAGTGTCGATGGGTCTCTATGGATCGATCCATCTCTTTGAGTCTCTGTGTCTGTCACGTATCTCCTGAGTGTCGATGGGTCTCTATGGATCGATCCATCTCTTTGAGTCTCTGTGTCTGTCATGTATCTCCTGAGTGTCGATGGGTCTCTATGGATCGATGCGTCTCTTTGAGTCTCTGTGTCTGTCATGCATCTCCTGAGTGTCGATGGGTCTCTATGGATCGATGCATCTCTTTGAGTCTCTGTGTCTGTCACGTATCTCCTGAGTGTCGATGGGTCTCTATGGATCGATCCATCTCTTTGAGTCTCTGTGTCTGTCATGTATCTCCTGAGTGTCGATGGGTCTCTATGGATCGATGCGTCTCTTTGAGTCTCTGTGTCTGTCATGCATCTCCTGAGTGTCGATGGGTCTCTATGGATCGATGCATCTCTTTGAGTCTCTGTGTCTGTCATGCATCTCCTGAGTGTCGATGTGTCTCTATGGATCGATCCATCTCTTTGAGTCTATGTGGGTCTCAATCTCTGAGTCTCAATGGGTCTCTATGGATCGATCCATCTCTTTGAGTCTCTGTGTCTGTCACGTATCTCCTGAGTGTCAATGGGGTTCTATGGATCGATCCATCTCTTTGAGTCTCTGTGTCTGTCATGTATCTCCTGAGTGTCGATGGGTCTCTATGGATCGATGCGTCTCTTTGAGTCTCTGTGTCTGTCATGCATCTCCTGAGTGTCGATGGGTCTCTATGGATCGATGCATCTCTTTGAGTCTCTGTGTCTGTCATGCATCTCCTGAGTGTCGATGGGTCTCTATGGATCGATCCATCTCTTTGAGTCTCTGTGTCTGTCATGCATCTCCTGAGTCTCGATGGGTCTCTATGGATCGATGCGTCTCTTTGAGTCTCTGTGTCTGTCATGCATCTCCTGAGTCTCGATGGGCCTCTATGGATCGATGCATCTCTTTGAGTCTCTGTGGGTCTCTGTATCTATTTGAGGCTCTCTGGCTTTCTATGCGTCTCTATGCATCTCTGTATCTATTTTGAGTCTCAATGGGTCTCTATGGATCTGTCCATCTCTTTGAGTCTCTGTGGGTCTCTATCTCCTTGAGTCTCAATAGGTCTCTCAATATCTGTATCTCATTGAGTCTCAATGGGTATCTGTATCTCTTGAGTCTCATGTAAATGGCTCTATGTATCTCTATGTGTTCATAAGGGTCTTTGAGTATCTATGTGTCTCTATGGGTCTCTGAGAATATATGTATCCTATATGTTTATATGGGTCTCTGGGCATCTATGGGTCTCAATTGGGATCTATGCGGTTCGAAACCGGCGGGCCCTATGGGTATCTATGTGTTTTTATGGGTGACCGAGTCAGTGGGTGAGTGGAGGAGGCTCGTGAAGGACGCTGCTACTGGGCAGTTGGAGGCAGTCGCCCTCCCGCACCAATGGAGGGCGGAGGAGCGACGCTCACAACAACGAGCGGAGCGCCGGGTGGCTAAGATGCAGCAAGTTGACACAGTAGGGGGAACAGGTGGCGTATTTGTCAGTCATTTCAGTAGCCAACCCCTGGCACCTACTGGGTCTGTCCCGAGACATCCTCCTGTCAGCGAGCCTTCGACACTTCACGTGGCCGTAAAGTGCACCTGGCCTGGCACAGGTGCCGTGTTGACGTCACCGTCACTTCGTGGCGAATGGCGGTTGTATTGGGTGAGTGAGTGAGTGAGTGAATTGGTGAGTGAGTGGGTTGGGTGAGTGAATGAGTTTGATGGTTTCACCAGTGGTGAGTGAGTAGGTGACTTGGCCATTGAGTGACCGTGTGAGTGAGCGAGCGGGTGGGTGAGCGAGCGGGCGGGCGAGCGGGCGGGCGGGCGGGCGAGCGGGCGAGCGGGCGGGCGGGCGGGCGAGCGGGCGGGCGAGCGGGCGGGCGGGCGAGCGGGCGGGCGAGCGGGCGAGCGGGCGGGCGAGCGGGCGGGCGGGCGAGCGGGCGGGCGAGCGGGCGGGCGAGCGGGCGAGCGGGCGAGCGGGCGGGCGAGCGAGCGGGCGGGCGGGCGAGCGGGCGGGCGGCGGGCGGGCGAGCGGGCGGCGGGCGGGCGGGCGAGCGGGCGAGCGGGCGAGCGGGCGAGCGGGCGAGCGAGTGGGCGAGCGAGCGAGTGGGCGAGTGGGCGAGTGGGTGAATTGGTGAGCGAGTTGACGTCTCGACCAGTGGTGAGTGAGTAGGTGACTTGGCCATTGAGTGACCGAGTGGGTGAGCGAGCGAGTGAGCGAGTGGGTGAATTGGTGAGCGAGTTGACGTCTCGACCAGTGGTGAGTGAGTAGGTGACTTGGCCATTGAGTGACCGAGTGGGTGAGCGGGTGAGTGAATTGGCGAGCGAGTGAGCGGGCGAGTGAATTGGCAAGCGAGTGGTGGGTGAGTTTGACGGTTCACCCCACCGGTGTCTTCGAGGAGGCGCGGATGATGTCTGGGTCTCGAACGAGGCCCAGAAGCAAGCCAATCGAGGGGGGTGGCTGGGGGGGGTTTCGACGCGTGCGTACAGTTGAACTTCTTTCGCACCGTACGTAGCCAAGCGTGTGTTTATCGTCAAGGATGATCATATCTACTGTCTTTCGTGCAGTCAGCAGCAACGGCGGCAGCGGCGGCGGCGTCGTCGTCGGCGCAAGCGGCAGCGTCGGCGGGCATGACGTGGCCGCTTGCGTCAAGTGGAGCGGGCCCTCCGTCCGTGGCGTGGCGCACAGGCTGCGGCCGCACGTGGAGGCGCTGGCAGTCCTGCAATGGGAGCTCACCTTTCTACTGGCGGGTAAGCGAGCGCACGCGCGATGCTCAAGTTCAAGTTCATGTATTAGGTGTAGCCCTGTGAGCCATTCGGCTCTTGAATCGGGTGCAACCGCTCGCCAACGGCACTTGCCCCTCCGGTCTATTAAAGGTTACCTGGGGGATCTTTGTCTGCGCGTGCCCCGTAGGGGTGGTGTGCCCGCTGCTCATGGTGGTGCTGCTGTGCTCCACCCTGTGGCCGATCGCCACCCTCTATCTCGCCTGGCTCGTGATCGACTGGAGGACCCCGCACAGAGGTGACGGCAAGCTCACACCCGTGTCTCTCACCCGTGTCTCCTACCCGTGTCTCCTACCTGTGTCTCCTACCCGTGTCTCCTACCCGTGTCTCCTACCCGTGTCTCCTACCCGTGTCTCTCACCCATGTCTCCTACCCATGTCTCCTACCCGTGTCTCCTACCCGTGTCTCCTACCCGTGTCTCCTACCCGTGTCTCCTACCTGTGTCTTCTACCTGTGTCTCTCACCCGTGTCTCCTACCCGTGTCTCCTACCCGTGTCTTCTACCCGTGTCTCTCACCCGTGTCTCCTACCCGTGTCTCCTACCCGTGTCTCTCACCCGTGTCTCCTACCCGTGTCTCTCACCCGTGTCTCTCACCCGTGTCTCTCACCCGTGTCTCCTACCCGAGTCTCTCACCCGTGTCTCTCACCAGTGTCTCCTACCCGTGTCTCTCACCCGTGTCCCTCACCCGTGTCTCACCCATGTCTCCTACCCGTGTCTCTCACCCGTGTCTCTTACCCATGTCTCCTACCTGTCCCTCACCCGTGTCTCTCACCCGTGTCTCCTACCCATGCCTCCTACCCGTGTCTCTCCCCCGTGTCTCTCCCCCGTGTCTCTCCCCCCGTGTCTCTCACCCGTGTCCCTCACCCGTGTCTCCTACCTGTCCCTCACCTGTGTCTCCTACCCGTGTCTCCTACCCGTGTCTCCTACCCGTGTCTCCTACCCGTGTCTCTCACCCGTGTCTCCTACCCGTGTCTCCTACCCGTGTCTCTCACCCGTGTCTCTCACCCGTGTCTCTCACCCGTGTCTCTCACCCGTGTCTCCTACCCGAGTCTCTCACCCGTGTCTCTCACCAGTGTCTCCTACCCGTGTCTCTCACCCGTGTCCCTCACCCGTGTCTCACCCATGTCTCCTACCCGTGTCTCTCACCCGTGTCTCTTACCCATGTCTCCTACCTGTCCCTCACCCGTGTCTCTCACCCGTGTCTCCTACCCATGCCTCCTACCCGTGTCTCTCCCCCGTGTCTCTCCCCCGTGTCTCTCCCCCCGTGTCTCTCACCCGTGTCCCTCACCCGTGTCTCCTACCTGTCCCTCACCTGTGTCTCCTACCCGTGTCTCCTACCCGTGTCTCCTACCCGTGTCTCTCACCCGTGTCTCTCACCCGTGTCTCTCACCTGTGTCTCTCACCTGTGTCTCCTACCCGTGTCTCTCACCCGTGTCTCTCACCCGTTTCTCCTACCCGTGTCTCTCACCCGTGTCTCTCACCAGTGTCTCCTACCCGTGTCTCTCACCCGTGTCTCTCACCCGTGTCTCTCACCCGTGTCTCTCACCCCGTGTCTGCTACCCGTGTCCCTCAACCGTGTCTCCTACCCGTGTCTCCTACCTGTCCCTCACCCGTCTCTCTCACCCGCCTCTCTCACCCGCCTCTCTCACCCGCCTCTCTCACCCGCCTCTCTCACCCGCCTCTCTCACCCGCCTCTCTCACCCGCCTCTCTCACCCGCCTCTCTCACCCGCCTCTCTCACCCGCCTCTCTCACCCGCCTCTCTCACCCGCCTCTCTCACCCGCCTCTCTCACCCGCCTCTCTCACCCGCCTCTCTCACCCGCCTCTCTCACCCGCCTCTCTCACCCGCCTCTCTCACCCGCCTCTCTCACCCGCCTCTCTCACCCGCCTCTCTCACCCGCCTCTCTCACCCGCCTCTCTCACCCGCCTCTCTCACCCGCCTCTCTCACCCGCCTCTCTCACCCGCCTCTCTCACCCGCCTCTCTCACCCGCCTCTCTCACCCGCCTCTCTCACCCGCGTCTCTCACCCGCGTCTCTCACCCGCGTCTCTCACCCGTGTCTCCTACCTGTCCCTCACCCGTGTCTCTTACCCGTATCCCTCACCCGTGTCTCCCACTTGTCCCTCACCCGTGTTGCTCAACCGTCCGGGTCACCCGTGTCTCCTACCTGTGTCTGTCAGCTGCTTCACACGTGCCTCCAACCTGCATCACCTGTATTTCTCACCTATCTCACCTGCCTCACCTTTGTCACCTGCATCACCTGTATTTCTCACCTGCCTCAGCCGTCTCGCACCTGCCTGGCCTATGTCTGTCCACCGTCTATCTCGCTTACGTTGGCTGTGTCTCCTACCAGCCTCACCTGTCCCTCGCCTGCTGTACCATGGGTCGTATCTGTGACTCGCCTGCCTTAGCGTGTGTCGCTCACCTCACCCTCACCTTGATCATTTCAAACTCAAAATCTTCGACAGCGCTGGATCAATGTCTCTGACACGGCGATTGTAAACGCTATGTGATGGAGAGATACAAACTCTAACCAGACATCTTCTTTGGTTCTTTGGTTTTCACACCTGATGATGATTGCTCGTGTTGCAATCGAAACGTCGTGAGGATTTTATAGTTTTATTTTTTATTATTTTATTATTATTTCCCTTCTACGTGACTTTACCGAAAGAACCAATAACATCTAACCAGACACTCAGACCCAGGGCTTGAACCCAGGTTGTCGTCAATGCTGGCTCCGTGTCGCTGGCACTGCCGTTGTGAATCCTGATATGAGACGGAGAGAGACACAGAATCTAACCAGACACTCAGACCCAGGGCTTGAACCCAGGATTTCATCAGTGCTGGCTACATGCCTCTGACATGGCCATTGTGAGTTCTATATGAGCGAGAGAGACACAGAATCTAACCAGACACTCAGCCCCAGGGCTTGAGCCCAGGATTTCATCAGTGCTGGCTACATTCCTCTGACACGGCCATTGTGAGTTCTATATGAGCGAGAGAGAGAGAGAGACACAGAATCTAACCAGACACTCAGACCCAGGGCTTGAACCCAGGATTTCATCAGTGCTGGCTTCATGCCTCTCACACGGCCATTGTGAGTTTTATATGAGCGAGAGAGAGACACAGAATCTAACCAGACACTCAGACCCAAGGCTTGAACCCAGGATTTCATCAGTGCTGGCTACATTCCTCTGACACGGCCATTGTGAGTTCTATATGAGCGAGAGAGACACCGAATCTAACCAGACACTCAGACCCAGGGCTTGAACCCAGGATTTAATCAGTGCTGGCTTCATGTCTCTGACACGGCCATTGTGAGTTCCATATCAAAGAGAGACAGAATCTAACCAGACACTCAGACCCAGGGGTTGAACCCAGAATTTCATCAGTGCTGGCTTCATGCCTCTCACACGGCCATCGTGAGTTCTATATGAGAGAGAGAGACACAGAATCTAACCAGACACTCAGACCCAGGGCTTGAACCCAGGATTTCATCAGTGTTGGCTTCATGCCTCTGACACGGCCATTGTGAAGCAACGCCCTTAACCGCCAACGAAGCGAGCTCAACCCCCCCCCCTCCGATGAACCCCTATTACAACCCCTATTACTACCCCTCGCCCCTATCACTACCCCTCGCCCCTATCACTACCCCTCACCCCTATCACTACCCATATTACTACCCATCAACAACAAGGCAACTCCTAGGACTAATTGGGAATGGGATGCAAGCGTAGGATTGATCAGCCTGTCGCTGGCCGCCTTTGGGGAGGGTGTATAGTGTGTAAGGCCGAAACACCCTAGGAACCAAAGGTACACTACTGACGATGCGCTCCCCAAATTTCACCAGGCTCACTGTTCATGAACTCTTGGAAGTGCTTGCACAAAGGATAGTAACATCTCATCCTGTGTTCTTGGAATCCCCTATCACTAACCATATCATTACCCCTAACCCTATCACTCCCCTTTCACCCCTATCACTATCCCTATCACTACCCCTATCACTACCCCTTCACCCCTATTACTTCCCGTATAACTGCCCATATCATTACCCATACCCATATCCCTATTACTATTCATTTACTCCTATCACTACCCCTTCACCCCTATTACTACCCAAAGCATTACCCCTACCCCTATCACTGCCCTTTCACCCTATCACTACCCCTATAACTACCCCTATAACTACCCCTGCACCCCTATTAATACCTACTTTACTACCCATATCTTTACCCCTATCACTACCCTTTCACCCTATCTCTACCCATATCACTACCCCTATCACTATGCCTGCACCCCTATTAATACCTATTTTACTACCCATATCATTACCCCTATCCCTACCCTTTCAGCCTATCACCACCCCTATAACTACCCCTATAACTACCCCTATGACTACCCTTGCACTCCTATTAATACTTACTTTACTACCCATATCATTACCCCTATCACTACCCTTTCACCCTATCACTACCCCTATCACTACGCCTGCACCCCTATTAATACCTACTTTACTACCCATATCATTACCCCTACCCCTATCACTGCCAATCCACAAATAACGGAGGAGGAGACATCACGGCGATGATGGATGATGTTGACGATGATCCACTACCACTCCGACTACTCCACTACTGCGCCTGCTGGCGCGGGTTAGCTGCTGGCTTGACCCACCGGGATGTGAAACTGGAACTGTTGCTGTGAATCCACATCGGCAGCCCGTGCGGAAGTAGAAGATGAAGATTGTGAACCCCCTGAGAGAGAGAGATGGCCAGATGCAGGGATTGAGTCTCACGTGTCCCCATTTCTCATGTCTAACATCTGTAGGAATGGCATCCCTCACAACCTGAAATCTCCTATATATATAACTAGCTGTACTACCCGGTTTCGCCCGGGACTTGGATCCACCACGCCCGGCCACCTTTGTCTCCCCAGTGGCGATGTTCACACACCACAGCAGCTACTCGTTTGAGGCTGAGTTGACCTAGGGGAGGCCCAGGACCGGTTAAAATAATCGTCACCGGTGGTGGCCGTGAGCGAGAATCGAACTCGTGTCGCCGGGTTCGTAGCGCAGCGCGCTAACCGCTACACTACAATGCGTTACGCTTCCACGTGCGCGGGTCACGTGACAGATTTGACGTCACAGCTCACTTGCTGTGCAAAAAATCTACCCACACGGCAAATTTCAAGTTTGTTGCATGTCGGGAAGTACGCTAAACATTTTGAACAGACACACATATTCACAACTTTGCCTTTTACATACATATGGAGAAATGTCTTCTGAGTGTGTCTACGCGTGCGTCTGTGTGGGGAGCGGTGGCGCAGCGGTTAGCGCGCTGCGCTACGAACCCGGCGACCCGAGTTCGAATCCCGCTCACGGCCAACACCGGTGACGATTATCTGAACCGGGAGACAAAGGCGGCCGGGCGTGGCGCTGGCCACCCACCCCCTCGTGCACCGTGCCGGCCTTCATAGGTGCTCGCTAACAGCACTTGCCTGAACAGCCGCTGTAGGCTACGTGGGGGATCTTTGTTATTGCCATGCATGTGTGTGTGTACTTTCCATAATACCAGTTTGTTGGGCTATTTAGCGTAAATATTTACGCGATCTAACCCCAAAAAAAACGTGTATTATGGGTATTGGTCGCGAAAGCCTACACGTGTTAAACCGGTGTGTATTGATTTGTGTGTTTAATGGATTTTCAGGGTGTTTGAAAAAGATGGTACCGAGTTGAAATCGCTATATCTTTGCAACCACGAACCGCCCATGATTGAAACTCTTATCACTTGAAAGGGCGGGGCATAGAGAGGGCGGGGCATAGAGTTTAAAATGATTACCGCTAGATGCCTCTCCCAGCGCACAAACAGCCCCTAGTCTCAGTCATTCGCAAGATGGCGACCCCGCGTTTTGCGTTCTGCAGTTCAGCAAGACTGAATCCGTTATTGTGGTGCAAAGTGCATTTCAACGACGTTTTGGCACTGATCCGCCAATGTCAAAGAGCATGGTGGCACAAGAGACCGTGTTTTTGTGCCACCATTAGCAACTAATCTGGATGACTTCAAAAACAGAATCACGGCAGCGGTGACTTCAGTGGAAGAAGACACTTTGAGAGGCGTTTGGGACGAATGCAACTATCGTCTCGATGTTGTCCGTACAGCAGGTGGAGGGCACGTAGAACATTTATAACATGGTTGGTAAAACTTGATAACTCATTAAACCGTTGGTAACTTTTTTGTGTAATTGTAACATGTTGCCATCGTGAGATATACTGCTTGGAAATTGGGTCCATCCTTTTGAAACACCCTGTATAATACCTTGTTAGTCATTTGAGTGATACACCATCAACACGTATCGAAAGTTAACATGAAAACAAGCATAACCACTCTTTGGTTCTTTGGGTAAAATCGCGTAGAAAATGAAATCGAATAAGAATGGAATGCGACGTTTCGATTGCAACACAAGCAACCGTCATTGGGTATAGAATGAATGAGGAAAGAAAAAAAACCTAGTAAACTTAGAAGCACAATGCCTGACGGCCAACACAACAGCCAACAACCCCATCTGGCTGACCGACGCTCCTCCAAAGAATGACGAACAGAAAGACGGCGCCACTGTGTCGAGGCTTTAAATATAGAGAGAGAGGGGGGGAGGGGTTGGGGCAGTTCAAGTTCATGTATTAGGTATAGCCCTGTGAGCCATTCGGCTCTTGAATCGGGTGCAACCGCAACAAACAAAAACCTAAAACATGAACAAAAAACATCTTAAAGTGACTATGTGACTAAGTGCAAACAGAAAATCCAAGAAAACACAGCAAAATAATGCAGAAAAAAATCACCGTACACCAACGCTGTGTGCAAAAATCCCAGTGGGATGCAAGTCAAACAACCAACTACAACCACAGGACAACTTAGATTAAGGCCATCAGTCTAACTCTGTGCTACAACAAACAAACATGGCTAAACCAATACACTTTTCGAAATTACCAAAATAAAGCCATGAAAGCAATGAAACAGTGATCATAGGAACTGTGACGGAATTTTCACAATAAATGGCATAAGAGAGAGAGAGAGAGGGGGGGCGGGGGGGGGTAGAGGACAATGAGAGAGTTGCGTGGAATTCCGGACCGTAGTGGCCGGAGGAGAGACAGTAGACTCTACAAACAAGCAGCGTGGCAATTACTTAGAGCAAGAACATCGTAAGTTTGAGAATGTGTAACGGGTTCCGGAGACACTTGTATAGGTAACTTCTTTATTACAATACAACACTCCAACAGTACTCCAACTCTCCAACAGTCCTGATACTCTGTTACAGCCTAGGTACACAGCCTAGCTACACAGCCTAGATACTCTACTCTGGCTACGCTCCGGAACTCGCCCTCACAAGGTCGTAGAGTCGGGAGTTCCAGAGTCCCACCACTGGCTCTCACAGCATCCCAGGGTCTTCAGATGGCTGGTCGTGGGTCTTGGGTCTTGAGTTACAACTGGCCCTGATCGTCCAGGAAGCTCCGCTTATATGCCCAGTCCCCAACGAGGGGTGGGGCCGTGTGCGCCCCCAGATATCCCACAGAGCACACACAGCCCCCCCTTTGGCGGCGCCAAGGGGATTAAGCGCCTGGGAACTCAACGCCTGACGCCAAGAGGCTTAAGCGTCTGACCCGCTTGAGAACCCACGCCTGGCGCCAAGGGGATTAAGCGCCTGGCCCTCCCAGGGACCCAGAGCCCCCAGCAGCCCCTCCCTTCTTATGTCACTACAAATGCAACTTTAATTTAGTCAAATTTAAGAAGTGTAATGTAATGCAACAAAGGGAGTCGGTTAACAGCAATTAACGCATAGCCTGGTTGATTATGTTTTTCCAAAGATTGCTAAATTTAGAAGTTAAGCGTGAAACGGACAAGCAAGGAAACATTTAGAGAGAGAAATCGGAAGTTTGACAACAAATGTAGTAAAATTAGGAAGTGTAATGTAATGTAACAAAGAGAGTCGGTTAACAAGCAATTAACGCATAGCCTGGTTGATTACGTTCTCCCAAAGACTGCTAAATTTAGAAGTTAAGCGTGAAACGGACAAGCAAGGAAATATTTAGAGAGAGAAATCGGAAGTTTGAGAATGCAAATTTAGTCAAATTAAGAAGTGTAATGTAATGCAACAAAGGGAGTCGGTTAACAGCAATTAACGCATAGCCTGGTTGATTACGTTCTTCCAAAGATTGCTAAATTTAGAAGTTAAGCGTGAAACGGACAAGCAAGGAAACATTTAGAGAGAGAAATCGGAAGTTTGACAACAAATGTAGTAAAATTAGGAAGTGTAATGTAATGTAACAAAGAGAGTCGGTTAACAAGCAATTAACACATAGCCTGGTTGATTACGTTCTTGCAAAGATTGCTAAATTTAGAAGTTAAGCGTGAAACGGACAAGCAAGGAAACATTTAGAGAGTGAAATAGGAAGTTTGACAACAAATGTAGTACAATTAGGAAGTGTAATGCAATGCAACGCCTAGAGTCGGCTAACACACAGTTAATGCATAGCCTGGTTGATTACATTCTCCCAAAGATTGCTAAATTAGAAGTTAAGTGTGAGTTGTGAGGAAACCCTCCCCGTGGAGGTGGTCCAAACTCGATTCGAAGCTGTCGTGACTGCAGGAATTACTCTTTGGTTCTTTCGGTAAAGTCACGTAGAAAATAGCATAAACAGCCCGAAAACATCATTATCATCAGCATCGATATTGTTATCATCGCCATTCCTCGAGCTATCGAAGTTAAGATAACGGGACTTTAGCCGAGCAAACACGTGCATACACACACACGTACACACACACAAACAAATACAAAGATCCCCCGTATAGCCTGAACAGACTGTTGGGGCAAGTGCTGTTCGCGAGCACCTATGAAGGCCTGCACGGCACACGAGGGGGTGGGTGGCCAACACTACGCCCGACCGCCTTTGTCTCCCCAGTGGCGATGTTTACTACACACCGCACCAGGTTCTCATGTGAGGCCGAGTCGACCTAGAGGAGGCCCAGGACCAGTGCAGATAATCGTCAACGGTGTTGGCCGTGAGTGCGAATCCGACTCGTTTCGCCGGGTTCATAGCGCAGCGCGCTAACCGCTGCGCCACCGCTCCCCCCCCACTCCCCTCCTCACCTCCCTAACTCAGGAGGCCGGAGGACGAACTGGGTGCGGAACTGGGGTGTGTGGAACTACTTCCGAGATTACTTCCCCATAAAGGTTGGTCTCTCCACCAGCGAATCGGCCCGTCACTCACCCACACACTCCACACAGACAAAGGTCCCCCATTGCAGCTACACAGGCTGCTGGGCCAAGTACTGCTAGCACTTGGCACGGCGCATGAGTGGTGCGGCCAGGAACCTTTCCCGGCCGTCTTTGTCTTCCCAGTGCTGATTTTTTTATGGTGCGGAACCCGTCCTGTGGTCCCAGGAGTCGTGTTGATGTCTCGCAGCGCAGCTTGCACTCAGCTGACTCCGTCCCACAGCAGTTCGCTCACCTACTCACTCAGAACCTGATTCTGGGGAGTTGGTGATCAATACCTGATTCTGGGGAGTTGGTGATCAGATTCTGGGAGTTGGTGATCAATACCTGATTCTGGGAGTTGGTGATCAATACCTGATTCTGGGAGTTGGTGATCAATACCTGATTCTGGGGAGTTTGTGATCAGATTCTGATTCTGGGTGTTGGTGAGGAATACCTGATTCTGGGAGTTGGTGATCAATACCTGATTCTGGGGAGTTTGTGGTCAGATTCTGATTCTGGGTGTTGGTGATCAATACCTGATTCTGGGAGTTGGTGATCAATACCTGATTCTGGGAGTTGGTGATCAATACCTGATTCTGGGGAGTTTGTGATCAGATTCTGATTCTGGGTGTTGGTGATCAATACCTGATTCTGGGAGTTGGTGATCAATACCTGATTCTGGGGAGTTGGTGGTCAATACTTGATTCTGAGAGTTGGTTATCAATACCTGATTCTGGGGAGTTGGTGATCAATACCTGATTCTGGGAGTTGGTGATCAATACCTGATTCTGGGAGTTGGTGATCAATACCTGATTCTGGAGAGTTGGTGATCAGAACCTGATTCTGGTAGTTGGTGATCAATACCTGATTCTGGGAGTTGGTGATCAATACCTGATTCTGGGAGTTGGTGATCAATACCTGATTCTGGGAGTTGGTGATCAATACCTGATTCTGGGAGTTGGTGATCAATACCTGATTCTGGAGAGTTGGTGATCAGAACCTGATTCTGGTAGTTGGTGATCAATACCTGATTCTGGGAGTTGGTGATCAATACCTGATTCTGAGTTGGTGATCAATACTTGATTCTGGGAGTTGGTGATCAATACCTAATTCTGGGAGTTGGTGATCAATACCTGATTCTGGGAGTTGGTGATCAATACCTGATTCTGGGAGTTGGTGATCAATACCTGATTCTGGGAGTTGGTGATCAATACCTAGTTCTGGGGAGTTGGTGATCAATACCTGATTCTGGGAGTTGGTGATCAGAACTTGATTCTGGGAATTGGTGATCAGAACTTGATTCTGGGAGTTGGTGATCAATACCTGATTCTGGGGAGTTGGTGATCAATACCTGATTCTGGGAGTTGGTGATCAGAACCTGATTCTGGGAGTTGGTGATCAGATTCTGATTCTGGGAGTTGGTGATCAATACCTGATTCTGGGGAGTTGGTGATCAATACCTGATTCTGGGGAGTTGGTGATCAGAACCTGATTCTGGTAGTTGGTGATCAATACCTGATTTTGGGAGTTGGCAATGAGATCACCGCATCTTATGGTTCAGGACGGCGGGTGGCACCGCAGGTCACGATAGCGATGGCATGGTAGGGCGATTGGTGACCACGGGGCTGACCAACACAGCTTTCATCTCCATCGCAAAAACCGCGGGCAACCCAAATCACTGCTTGGAGTGCCACACGCCAGGATTGCCCAGATGGTCCACTATCTGGGCAATCCTGGCGGCGAGGATGAGTCGAGTAGTGATCGAGCAGAAATAAACTAGAACTCACCTTTACACTACGAGACCTCCTTTACCAGTGGCAAAATATAGTGATAGGTTTTTACCCTTTAACTGGTACAAAAACTGACACCTTTATACAAGGCATCATGTTTGCAATAACCACAACACAAGCAGTCAAAATGCAAACAAAAAGAAACAACTCCGATGATGATAATGATATGCACTGTCCTTTTGTACCAGTTGAAAGGGTAAAAACCTATCACTATATTTTGCCACTGGTAAATGAGGTCTCAGTGTAAATGCTTACCCCGAGCTCTCAATACTCTGATAGTGCGCTATTTTTTAGTTATACGCCTTTTGGCGTCATCTGGTCCAACACCAATGGAGACTAGGCTCTAAGAAAAGCTGTCTTGGTTGTGGACCAATCAACTTCAAGGACGGTGGATATCATTATCATCATCAGAGTTGTTTCTTTTTGTTTGCATTTTGACTGCTTGTGTTGTGGTTATTGCAAACGTGATGCCTTGTATAAAGGTGTCAGTTTTTGTACCAGTTGAAAGGGTAAAGACCTATCACTATAGAACTCACCTTTTTGTATTTTACCGGGTAAGGCCCCACTGAGCTGTGTGTAGCTTTTTTTGCAGAAGCGACCTTGGTCAGCACAAATGATAGCTAAGCGAAGTGGCTCATGGCGTAGAAATTTATTTTATTTTATACCTACGTGACTTTACCGAAAGAACCAGAGTATGGATTCCTGCGGTCACGAAAGCTTCAAATCGAGATTCAGCCAGATGCTCTCAACGCTTGACGTCGATTCTAAAATGTGGAGGGGAAAAACTGGAGGACCCCGAGAAAAAATGCACGTGACCACCTGAGACGGAGAGAGACGCAAACTCCAAATCAACAGCAGCCGGCCTCGTCAGGGTCGAGATCGAACCCACGCCGTCCTCCATACAGAGGCGAGGTAGTCAACATCTCCTAGCCACCACGTAGTGAGTCGCCGCGTCCGCGTCGCGATCGACCAACGGGATTCCTGGATTTGTAGCGATTTAAAATCGGCAAACTCCTGCCACCAATTTATTTGGCCAACAAAAGCGTGCGCGTAACGAAATCGCCAATGCCAGTGCGCGTGTGTGTGTGCGTGCGCGTGAGCCGGAGGTCCGTAGAGGACAGGCGATCAGCGATATGCCCTGGCGATGCCCGCCAGCCACCCCCCCCCCCCTCCCCGCGCGAGCTGGTGGTGCCAGGGCAACTGAAGCCACTGGCGCTCGGTGCTTTCCAGCAAACAACAGCAACGACGACGGGCGACTGTTGCGCCCCGGCCACGTGGAATGTTCCAGTGCTTGTGTAGTGGGTTCAATTTAGGCGCAACACACTTCTTGGGAGGCAACACTCATTTTATTAATGAACACAACGGTTACTCAACATTTCGATTTAAAGCTTTCGTGACTGCAGGGATTCATCTTCTTGGTTCTTTCGGTAAAGTCACGTAGAAGGGAAGTAATGTTCTTCACCTGAGGATGGCTGCTTGCGTTGTGGCCGAAACGTCGTGAGAATTATTTTATTATGTTTTAATTTTATTATTGTATTACTTCCCTTCTACGTGACTTTACCGAAAGAACCAAGAAGGTTACTCAACAGTTACTTTTAATCTGCACGTAAGGTGGTGACCACCGACCTACCCTAGCTAACACACACACTTGTCCCTTAGCTACTCCAGCATGACCCAGCCAGGTGGCTGCTGGTAGGTCCGCTCACTGTTGGCCTTCTCTTCTTGGCGTCTTCACGAGGCGTCTTCATTCTCCACAGGAACAGCCACGAACCTCGTGAGGAGGCTGCTTATATGGGCCCCACCCCGGCCACGCCCACCTTCGAGAACCCTCTCGAAGCCCCTCCCCCTGCTGTCCACGTGCCCCCCCGAGGGCCCCCTGGACCCCCACTGGGATCCGGTCACGTGTCCAGCACCGGCCCTGACGTCATTCCCGCCTCCAGCCGGGATGACGTCATGTGTGTGTGTCGACCCTCGTGGTAGTAACGCTCCTGGCACAGTGACGTCATACGTGTGCGTATGTACCCAGCAATGATACCACAATCACTACACTTGCCAGGAAGAGGGGGGGGGAGCAAGGACCGGTCCACTGGATCTCCCCGTGTCGGTGCGTGCGTCCTCTGTGCTTGACACACGCAGAGAGCGGTGGCGCTGCGCTGCGAACGTCGGCAACCCGAGGTAGATTCCCGCTCACGGCCACCACCAATGACGATTATTTGAAGCCGGTTCTGGGCCTTCCCCTAGGTCGACTCGGCCTCAAATGAGTACCTGGTGCAATGTGTAAACATCGCCACCGGGGAGACAAAGGTGGCCTGGTGTGGTGCTGGCCACCCACCCCCCCGTGAGTCTTGCCGGCTTTCATAGGTGCTGCTGCTACTAGCTACGAATAGCACTTGCCCCAACATCTGTTGAGGCTATACGATGGGATGGATCTTTGTCTGTTGTGCTGGACACATGGAGTCGATTTATCCACTGACCATTGGCTCGTCATCTGCAAATATGCCACCTGGTATTGATTAGAGTTGGACCGGTAAACTCGCCTGGACAATCAGTGGAGTAGCGGAACTCCTGTGAACTGGTTGTGGCTCCGGTCACCACGAGGGGTGGACATTCCTCCAACTCAGTCCCCCTAGTCGGCGCAGGATAGCATCAAACAACAGGGCGAGTGGATCTCCTGACTAAGAGACTGAGAAGGCAGTGTGGGAGCGTGGCGGTGAGGAAGAGGAAGCTGCGAGTCCCAGGCTACTGTGGGCTCGCCTTACCGTCAACAGGAGGCGAGGAATGGTGGTGGTGGTGGCTTACGGCCTCTCACCGAATGCAAAGGTCAGTGGAGAGATGCAGGCAATGCCGATGGATCAGAGCCCAATTCTATGACATCCTGTCACAGGTGCTAGCTAAAGTGGCTGCTCGGGATAGAGACATCCTGTTGGGTGACCTGAATGCCCCATTGGGTCACGATACAGGCACCTTGGGCGAGAGTGATTTTTCTTTGGAAGTCATGGGCCACATCAGCTCAATAAGAACGGTAGCAGTTGGCGGCGGCTGCTGCTGCTGCAATCACCTGCACGCTGTTACCATCGCCAGGGCAACATCGACACGGCATTCTGGGTGCATGCCAGGTCCCGGATAGAACATCTGCTGGCCTGCGTAGTGACGGAAGAGTTGACGGGAGGCCACTGCACTCCGCAC